GAGGAAAAGCAGCCAGAGCCAAGCATTTCTTTCTCTCTCTGTGGTCTTGCAGGCTCTTGGAGTGTTTACACTAAACTCCAGGCCCTGGAAGAGAATTTACAGCCTTATCACTGGAGTTAAAGGCGATGTGGGCTGGGGGGGGGATCCTTGTCTTACTTGCTCTTTTTCCAAGGCAGACTCTTTGACTTCGTGTAGGCGGGTGGTTATTTTATTCTTTCTCTCCGTCTCTGCCTGAAGTTTCTCTGCCTGAAGTTCCTCTTTGAAGATTTCTTGTCATGTTTACTGGGATAATGAGGATTTATTTTTTGCTTTTATTCCAATATTAATGCCAGGAAATGATTTCTGTAGGAAAATATTCTCTTTAAAAACCACAAATTAGATGTAATCAATGTAAAGATTACTAACAGGTATTTCCTTTAAAACAATTTTTGACTATTAAATGGACGCAAAAGAATATTTAAAATATACATAAATTACAAAAAATAATGATACAATGAATAGGTAGCATAAAAGAATATAACTAGGTCCTTTTAAGACCCTTGAACTCCCCAATCCAGTAATTCTCTCTACTTCCTATCCCCTTCCCAGCCTGAATTTTCCACTAGCAGTCCCTTACCATCTTAATAGATAATTTTTACCATGTACTTCCACCTGTAAAATTATGTGTGTGTGTGTGTATACACACACATATGTATATTAAAATTCAAACCTTATATATGTGGAATCATATACATGTTCTTTTTTATCTTTTACTGATTTTATTTTTTAAAAAATACATGACAGCAGTGGAATGCATTACAATTCTTATTACACATATAGAGTACAATTTTTCATATCTCTGTATATAAAATATGTTTACGCCAATTTATGCCTTTATACATGTTCTTTTTGCATTACAATTCTTTTTTTATTGGTTGTTCAAAACATTACAAAGCTCATGACATATCATCTTTCATACATTTGATTCAGGTGAGTTATGAACTCCCATTTTTACCCCAAATACAAATTGCAGAATCACATCAGTTACACATTCACATTTTTACATAATGCCATATTAGTGACTGTTGTATTCTGCTGCCTTTCCTATCCCCTACTATCCCCCTCCCCTCCCCTCCCATCATCCCTCTTGTGGCTCAAACGGTAGCAAGCTTGCCTGGCATGCATGGGGCGCTGGGTTCGATCCTCAGCACCACATAGAAATAAAATAAAGATGTTGTGTCCACCGAAAACTAAAAAATAAATATTAAAAATGCATTACAATTCTTAATACACATATATACCACCATTTTTCATATCTGTGTATATATAGTATGTTGACACCCAATTCAAGTCTTCAAACATGTACTTTGTATAATGATGTCATTATACATGTTCTTTGTAAGTATTTTTTTTCTCCAAGTGACTTTAGGTTCCTAAGAGTCATCTATTCTGCTGTATGTAGCTATAATTTATGCATGTTCATTGTTGTATTTGTTCATTCTTTGCTGGTTGACATATGGGTTGTTTCCCATGTTGATTTAAATAGTGCTATTGTTAACTTTTAATTCATTTCTCCTAGTTAACACTCTAGAATTTCTCTAGATCTGACTGGGATTGGAATTACTAGGTCATAGGTGTGTACATCTGCACTATTGATACCAAATTGTTTTCTATACTGGATACACAAATTAACACTGTCACTATCCATAGAAAGATAAATAGGTAGATATAAATTGTCCACAGCTTTAACAATACTTCAGGGCTGTTTTTGTTTGTTGGTTGGTTTGGTTTGTTTTTTTCTGTTGTTGTCTTTATTTTTTGGCAATTTAGTGGCAACAAAGCAGATTTTTCTCATGATTTTAACTTGCATCTCTACAGTTACAGTACTAATGAGATTGCACATCTTTTCATGTTTATTGGCTGAGTTTTTCTCCTCTGTAAAATGTCTGCAGGATTTTTTGTTTTTTGGTGGGTGTGGGTGAAGGTGGGGGGGTTGGGGGAGTTGTTTTGCTCATTTTCATGTGTTTTGCAAATGTCTTCCCTTGATTCATAACTTTTCCTTTTACTATATTCATGACTAATTTTAATGAATGAAAGTTCTTAGCTTTAATGTAATTTAATTTATAAAAGTTTGTCTATATGGTTTGTGGTTATTTTAAATCCTCCCCCAATTCTAGAATCCTATATTTTCCCCACATCCTCGCCAGCACTTGTTATTGTTTGACTTCATAATGGCTGCCAAAAAGATACACTTGTACATTGCTGCTGGGACTGCAAATTGGTGCAGCCAATTTAGAGGGAAGTATGGAGATTCGTTGGAGAGCTGAGAATGGAACCACCATTTGACCCAGCTATTCCCCTTCTCGGACTATACCCAAAAGACCTAAAAAGAGCATACTACCGGGACACAGCTACATCAATGTTCATAGCAGCACAATTCACAATAGCTAGATTGTGGAACCAATCTAGATGCCCTTCAACAGATGAATGGATAAAAAAAAATGTGGCATTTATACACAATGGAATATTACTCAGCACTAAAAAATAACAAAATCATGGCATTTGCAGGGAAATGGATGGCATTAGAGCAGATTATGCTAAGCGAAGTTAGCCAATCCCTAAAAAATAAATGCCGAATGTCTTCTCTGATATAAGGGAGGTGACTCAAAACAGAGTAGGGAGGAAGAGCATGAGAAGAAGATTACCACGAAACAAGGAAAAGAGGTGGGAGGGAATGGGAGGGAGAAGGGGAATTGCACGGAAGATAGAAGGAGACCCTCATGGTTACACAAAATACATATACAATGGTGTGAGGGGAAGGGAAGAAAAAAAAGAGAGAGAGAGAGAGAGAAGTGTCACAGTAGAATGGGTAGAGAGAGGTGATGGGAGGAGAGGGGAGGGGGGATAGGGAGGGCAGCAGAATACAACTGACACTAGGATTACTGTATGTATACACATGGATGTATACCCAATGTGATCCTGTAATTTGTACACGTGGAAAAATGAGAATTCATACCCTATTTGAATCAAATGTATGATATGTCAAGATCATTGTATGGTCTTGAGCAACTAATAAAAAAAAAGAAAGTCTCCTATATTGTCTTAAAATTTTTATAATTGTCCTTGCCCATTTAAGTTTTTAATCCACTGGAAATTATTTTCATATGTGGCAGAAGGTACAGACCAAATGTTGGATACCACATTGATATCTAGTTGTACCAGCATTATTTATTCAAAGTCCCTGATGTAATACTACTGTCATAAACTAAATATCCGTATGCCAATGTACTGATTTGTGTCCTCCCCAAAATTCATGTGTTAAAGTCCTAACTCCCAATATGGTGGTAATTTGAGACAGGACATTTGGAAATTAACTAGAGTTACGGGGTAGGTCATGAGGGTGGGATTTTATTAAAATAGGAAGATAAATAGCTCTTTCTTTGTCATATGAGGACACAGTGTGAGAAGGCAGCCATTTGCAAACCAGGTAGGAACCCTTACCAGAAACCAAATTAGGTGGCACCTTGATTTTGGAATTCCCAGTCTAAAATCAGTCTGTGAGAAATAAATGTTTAAGCCACCCAGTCTATACTATTTTGTTATGGCATTTCAAGCAGACTAATACACCATTCACATTTTTTGTTTTGGGCTCTTTATTCCTTTGATCAATTTGTCTATCTCTAAACTAATAAGATTGAATTAATTATGCATTATAAATTGCTATATATGTTAAATTAAATTCCCCCTGGCCCTTTAATTTTCCATATACATATTAGAATCAACTTGCCAATTTTACAGGAAAAAAAAGAAAAATCTAATCATATCTAAATACCAATTTGGGTATTACTAACCTTAATGATATTGAAGTTTCTAATCCATGAACATAGTATGTAATATGTCTTAAGACTTTTCCAGTGTATTTAAATAAATATTTTTCATTTTATTCTAAAAGTCTTAAACATCTTTTATTATATTTATTTCTAGAATCTTTATATTTTAGATGACATATTAATTTTAGTATTTTTAAAAAAGTTACACTTGTTAACCGACATGTAGAAATTCTGTTGATTTTTACGTAGGATTTTTTTTTTTTTGTATCCAGCAGCTTGTAATTCTTTATTTAAAGTCCCTGAAATGTAATGCTCCTGTCATAAACTAAATATCCATATACCAATGTACTGATTTGTGTCCTGATGATTATTTTCTTCTATGCAATGATCTTATCTGGGAATCAAAACAGTTTTGTTATTATTCAATCTTTATAACATTTTTATTTAATTATTTAATTTTATCTTAATTACATTGGAAAATACTATTAATACAAGATTGAGTAGAATTAATAATAACAATGAATTTTGTCTTATTTTTTTACTTTGAAAAGAACTTTTTCAATACTTTACTACATTAGTGTGATATTTACTATGAAAATCCTTATCAGGTTCATCAAGTTCTATTGCTTCTGTGATAAGTTATTTTTTATTGTAGATGTTTTTGTTATATATAAATAAATATATACACACTTATTTACATAAAATATATTTTGTTATATATATTTTATATAAATATATTGTTGTTATATTTAAATATTATATATTTATATTATAATGTATTTATATATTTATATAAATTTATTTATTTATTTATTTATTGGTGGTGATGGTACTGGGGATCACGAACCAGGACATCCAGCTACAGGGCTGTTTTTGTTGTTAAATGAATGTGTATTCAATTTCGTCACTTTTTCATCATTGAGATAATTCTCTACAAGATAATTTTCTCTATTACTGTGATACATTTCTGTAATTGATTTTCTAACGTTAAGTTAAACTTGCAGTCCAGGAAAAACTTGATTGTGAGATACTTTGTTTTCTGTTATTGGGTTTAGTCTACTTTGTTTTCTGTTATTGGGTTTAGTCTACTAATATTTCTCTTAGGGTTTGTCTATCTAATGCTCCAAGTCATTCCTTTGAAGCAAAATAATTTAAGCAGTCTCTGCCCAGCCCCAATGATACTGAACCTTAGGAGCGCCATTAAAATTATATTCTACTTTTTAACCTTGGTATGTTTTCAAACAAAAACCTCTGCCATAAGCATCCTGGAATACCATATGTGTTTGGCATTTCAATCCCCAAGTATATTTTGCATTCTTTGTATTTTAAACTTTGAGTTCATTATTTGAGCAACTTTTCAAGCAGCATCAGAAGCATCCAATTTCTTACATATTGTTATCCTCACCTCCAGGCCAGCCTGAGCAACTTAGAGAAGCCCTATCTCAAAAAAAAAAAAAAAAAATATATATATATATATATATATATATAGAGAGAGAGAGAGAGAGAGAGAGCGAGCACTGGGGATGTAGC